CTAACGGGCTGAAGATGACAATTGCAGGTCACTTGCCCAGCCTGTCTGCTGCCAGAGAGGCCTGAGAGAGATTGTCCAGGATCTAAGCCTGGACCAGAGGGCTACTATGGTTCTCTAGGAAGGACCCCTTAATCCTTGCGGGCACCTGTGTGTATCTTGAGGCCCAGCCCAGCCACATTAGGGTGTCGGGTAAACAGTGCACGGCTCATGTCTCTGGTGCTGGTGTCGCTGGTGTCGGCAGAGGTGGGAATTCCGCCTTGGGCAAAGCCTAGGAACAGTGGTGGGCTGATACTTCTCCAGTTGTTGTGCATGTGGCATGGGGCAAGTAACCATCAAGGGGCAAGTGGCTTGGAGGAAGTAATTGGAGAGGATTTGCTGAGTTGAAGGGGTCTGGGGACACTGTCGGGGAGGGCGGAGTTAGGAGGTTCGGCCCTTTTCATTTCATCTCCGCTCGTGGGAAGCTCTGAGACGTACCCAGGAGAGATCCCGGAAATCAGGGCGGGGCAGGAGCCCAGGGCGGACACTCTGGCCATGAGTAGTGCCTCTGTCCAGGCATACGCTGACTCACCTTGAATACAGGCTTAAATGAGCATCCCAAGAGGCAGATACAAGTCAAGTGCCAAGGTCCAACGGTCTGCAAACTCTGCCCTGTGAAACTTGCTTTCTTTGTCTGGGGACAGAGAAATAGGCACCTTGAATTTGGAGTGTTGAATGCAATTGTAGGGTTTAGGAGGTGCTATGGATTCAGTGTAGTCCCTGGCTCAGCCTTGGGGTCAGGAAAGATTTCCCAGAGGAAGAAGCATCTGAGGCCTGAAGGATGAGTCATACTTGACCAGATGAGAAGGATGCAAGGTGTCCTAGGTGGAGGTTCTCCCTGGTCAGTGGCCTGAAAGCAAAGCAGGAACAGAACATTGTAGGCCCTGAACAGCTGGCTCAGTCATAGAGTGTTCCGACAGGTGGCAGGAGCCAAAGTCTGCAGGGATTGTGGGCAGGGAGTTTAGACTTTGTCCTAAGATAGCCTCTTTGGTGCTCAGAGACTGGCTGGCCTGCAGATTCAGGGCTTATTTTGCCTTGAGTGGGAAACACATGAGTTCTGACACCCTACTTCCTGTTGCTGAGCTAGTAGAGCCGAGGGTGCCCCAGGTTGTGAGAGCAGGAACTTGGAGTATTAACCTCCCAGCACCAAAGGTGCCCTCTTACCCAGCTCTCATGCCCAAGTAAGAGCGGCACCCTGTGGCCACTGCACCAAACTGGACACTCTTACCTGTATAATCTTGACTCCTAATAACCTTATCTCCCAGAAGCCACCCTAAATGCCCCAAAACTTGTAGGTGGCCTTGGTCCTTTCAGTGGCTGTGGCCTGTCCTACTGCCCTGTGGTGAGGGCTCATTGGACTCTCCTAGCTAATGATGGGGGAGCAGCTGTGCTGCTCACAGCCCATGGGGAGCGATGTGTGTGAATTGCCATCCCTGGGGGGCACAGTGTTACCATCAGCACAGAACACCCAAAAGTGTTCCCTAATGTGTCTGTAAAACACGTATGTGGGTTCGTTACTGAACCCATCGAGTCTCCTGAAAGCCTCCGAAGTCCCTGGCCATTGGCATCTGTCCAGAGCATAGTATTTGTGAATCTGGTCAGGGATTGGTTGCAGCATTGAGGAGGAGGGAAGAGTAAACAAGACCTATGACAGTCAGGCAGATAGAATGGGTTGCGGAGTCAGGGGCCCCCGCGGTGACTGTGGGTTTCCTTCTGCAGTGTTCAGTGTTCATCTATTGTCAGACGCAGAAGGTGAGCCGTCTGCAGAGTTCCTCATGACACCCGCTTCCCTGCAGCGCTGGGGAGTTGGCCCACAAGTCTGTGGCCTTGGCAAAAGAAGACTTCCATCTTCTTCCTCACTATAAGGAAGGCCAGGTTGACTTCCACCTGAGGGGCAGAGGGTTGAGGCAAGAGAAATGGGAGGAGGTGGCTCAGCTCTGCCCAGACATGCAGGTGGCGAGGTATGTGTGACATGTGACAGCTGGAAGCCCCGTCAGTGGCCACAGAACTGAGCCAGGGAGGGCTTGCTAGGGCTGGAGAGGCCAGGAGCAGAGGCTGGGACCTCAGTGGCCAGTGCCATCTCAGGCCTCCTCTCTGATGATTCCCCTTCTCGTAAAAGCGGGTAGGTATCTCAGCTACACCTGGGGAGAACAGGATGGGAGAGGTTACCTGCCTGCAGTTCCAGCAAGGGTAAGGAAACTCTGTGTACAGAAAATCCTTGTTCTGAGATGGAGAGTGGGAAGGGACGTTTGGAGAAAGACCCAGTGTCTTTGTGGCATGTCTTCGGGATGAGAAATAAGCTCTTGGTCTTGGCGTCAGACAGCTCTAGCTTCCAGTCCTGGTTCTGCCACATAATTACCGTGTGACTATAGGCAGGTTCCTTAGCCCCACTGAGCCTCATCTAACTCACCTGTGAAATGGAGGTTAAAATAATAGTGCATCATGCATCACGCTGCTGCACGCCTGTGGAAGGAATTCGCTGCATGCAGAATGCTTCGGACCTGCCTGGTGCAGGTGCGTGCTGCTGTGCTCCTGCTGCAGCACCTCCCTGCTGCAGCACCTCGTCCGATGACTGACCCTGCGGCCTTGGTGCATCTCCCCCCGCTGGTCCAGGGCCCCTAGGCACCGTCCACTTTTCTCCCCATGTCCCAGACAATGAGTGGACTCTCTCCTACGAGGGTCTCAGGACTGGTGTCCATGTTCTTTGCACTCTTAGCCTCCCGTGAGGGTGGCAGAGAGGCCTCTGTAGCAGGAAGTGTGTCGATGTTGCAGCCTTCCCATTATTGGCCCCCTTGATTTCTTCTGAGCAAGTCCTGTCTCCAGCTTTGGAAACGTGTGATATCCTGAGGATGGCCCTCCTTGGTGTGTGTGGGGTGAGGGGGAGGAGCTGACTTGTGGGACCCATTCACAGACGGCACCTGGGCCCCTGTGTCCCCTCACCAGACCCCTGTGCACCCAGGCCGTCTGCCCTGTGGGGCTTCCCTTCCTCCAGGCCCTGAGCCCCAGGCTCCCAGGCTGAGATGGGGGGAGGTCTGTGTCTGGGGAGTGAGGGGAGGCTCAAGCCCTTGTGAGAATGGGGGTGGGAGCCAGACCAGGGAGTTGCTGTGGGGGCCTCCTCCCCCGCTCAGAGCGCTCTCCCGGTCTAGCCTCTGCAGACACGCACTTCTTGTTCATTTGTGCCGATCGGGGAGGCAGAGCTGGCCTCACAGTGATGCCCAGCGTTGTTTTAAGTCCGGGGACGGACTGGGGTCTCTGCCCTGAATTGGGCTGGCCGGCAGGTAATGAGATCTGAAAAGCAAGAGAAATGCTGCTTGTTCAAAGGGTTGTTGCTGTGGCCGACCGCAGTGCTCTGCTTGTCCAAATCCTCCCACTCCTGTCTGGAGGGGTGAGTGGGGGGCAGCGGGGTGACTTAGATGCTCAGTCTCCGCCCCTCCCCCCCCTCCTGTGAAGACAAAGGGGGTGACCGTGGGGAGACTCTCACTCATTTCAGGGCCAGGAACTGAGGAAGGAAATGGAGGAGGAAGTTCCTCCCCTCATGGGTGCTGGGTGAAAGTGAAAGGCCGGCAGGCTGGAGTGAGTCACTGCAGCCGCCGAGGGGAGGGGTAGGGGTGGGGAGTTGCGGAAGCCTGCACCGGAGTGATAGCACCTCAGGCTCCCTGGGGCCGGGACCGTCACCGGTGTGGCCAGGCTCCTGCCGAGAGCCTGCCCGCGGTACCGCCCAGGCCTCTGTTCTGACTGGTTTCCTGGGAACTCCCTGGCTGCGAAAACCAACTGGCAGTGGTAGGAGCTGAGCTCTGAGATCTCCCTGGACCTGTAGATTTGCTTCCCAGACCTCTCCTAGCCAGACTGACCGAGGACAGTCTGAGTGTGGGGAGAGGTAGCTCTCACACCTACCAACTTCTCAGGTAGGAAACAAAAAACCCCTCTCGGAAGAAAGAAAAAGTCTAAAAATACGTACACATTAGATATGCATGCATGTTACGCATTTTATTATTTATGCATCTGTAATAAAAATACGTGTGTGTTACAAAATAGTGGTCTTGCTTCTTTCTGTGCTGTAGCAGGATAAATAAAACAACCTGTTGTCTTTTTCAGAATCTCGTTAGAAAACAAACGACAGAAATGCCATAAGCACCGTAGTCGTGCCATGTTGTAGCCTCAGTCCCAGCCGTCCCCACCCTTCAATATTGTACTTGTCCTACTCCCCTGCTGGACTGCCAGGAGCTCTCTGGCAGTGGAGGTGGGTAGGTGGGGACTGCTGGCCAGCAACCAGTCAGGATCCCGCCTTCAGCCCGCCTGGGCTGCCAAACAGGTTCTGTGCTGGTTTGGGGACGACTCTGGCTCTGCAGTCTCACCCAGCAGCTCCTCCCAGGGGTGGGGCTAGTGCTGCACCCACCCTTCTGGGGCCTCACCTACTAGTCTCTGTGCAAAGGCCTGGAGCATAAGGCAGGGCCCCAAACTCTGCAAGGGACTCTGTGGGGCTCCTGACCCTGGGGCTGCGCATGGCAGTGACCCTGTTCCCTCTACTTCCTGTGTCCCGGGGTGCTTAGGGCACCCGAAGGTGCACTGGCTGGCTGTGTAAAGCCCCACTTGCATCTTGTAGAGAGGGCAGATGTGAGACCTGGCAGAGGCCTCAACAGAGAAGGAGAGAGCCCAACATGGCCTTTGTCACCTCTCTCCCCAGCTTGACCACATGGGTTCAGGCTGGATTTCTGTGCCACTTGTCCCTTGGCGGGGCACAAGTCACACAATCCTGTATAGCAATCTCAGCACCTAAGCAGGCAGGGGAGGAGAAGGGACGAGGGAGAGTCACAGAGCCTGGCAGGCTGCCCAGCGCCCTGCCTCCTGCCTCACCTGTGCTGCTCCGTGTGGCCTTCAGCTTGCCCCTGTGAGGCCCGAGGGGTCCCCCTCCCTTTTGGGCCGACTCCCGAGATAGCCTGACACGATCACTCTTCTGTCTGCAGGCTTCCGGGCCCTGAGGCATCATGAAGCGGGAAGAGTAGCCGAGCCCAAGAGCCTCTCCACCAAGAGGAAAGGAAGGACCAGCCCTTCTGTCTTCCGGGCCGACGGCACCACCCCGCATTTGCCTTCATTCCCACTGACTCCTGGACTTGAGCGGGCCCCAGCAGGACCTCCCCCCTCGCAGGGGATGGACAGCCAGTGACTTAGGTCTCACTGCCAGGGCCCTGTTGGCCACACCATGAACCTCCAGGCCCAGCCTAAGGCTCAGACTAAGCGGAAGCGTTGCCACTTTGGGGACCAGGATCCAGCTCCCAAGGAGCAGCCCCCACACCTGCAGGCCCCCCCACAGCCGCCGGCCCCTCCACAGTCCTCTAGAGTGAAAGAGGAGTCTTACTTTGGGCACGAGGGTCCAGCAGGGGCCACCTCCGCCTCCCAGCCTGTGGAACTGCCCCCTTCCAACAGCCTGGCCCTGCTGAACTCTGTGGTGTATGGGTCTGAGCGGACCACGGCGGCCATGCTGTCCCAGCAGGTAGGCTCGGTCAAGTGGCCCAACTCCGTGATGGCTCCAGGGCGGGGGCCGGAGCGTGGAGGGGCTGGAGGCGTGAGTGACAGCAGCTGGCAGCAGCAGCCGGGCCAGCCGCCACCCCACTCTGCGTGGAACCGCCATGGCCTGCCCCTCTACAGCGGACCCAAGGGGAGCCCTCATCCTGGCATGGGGGTCTCTACCTACTATAACCACCCTGAGACACTGAAGCGGGAGAAGGGAGGGGGGCCGCAGCTTGACCGCTACGGAAACGCAGTGCACCCCATGATGCCACAGAAGCTGCAGCTGGATGTAGGGCAGCCCCAGGCGCCCCTGAACTCGTTCCACGTGGCCAAGAAGCCCCCCAACCAGACCCTACCCCTTCAACCTTTCCAGCTGGCATTTGGCCATCAAATGAACCGGCAGGTCTTCCGGCAAGGCCCACCGCCTGCCAACCCCGTCGCGGGCTTTGCACCACAGAAGCAGCAGCAGCAGCAGCAGCAGCAGCAGCAGCAGCAGCAGCAGCAGCAGCAGGCGGCAGCCCTGCCCCAAATGCCGCTCTTTGAGAACTTCTACTCTATGCAGCAGCCACCCTCGCAGCAGGCCCAGGACTTTGGCCTACAGCCAGCCGGGCCACTGGGGCAGCCCCACCTGACTCACCACAGCATGGCACCCTACCCTTTCCCTCCCAACCCTGACATGAACCCAGAACTGCGCAAGGCCCTCCTGCAGGAGTCGGCCACACAGCCTGTGCTACCTCAGGTCCAGATCCCTTTCCCCCGCCGCTCTCGCCGCCTCTCTAAGGAGGGTGTCCTGCCGCCCACCACTCTGGATGGGGCTGGCACCCAGTCTGGGCAGGAGCCCACCAGCAACCTGTTCCTACATCACTGGCCCCCGCAGCAGCCACCACCTGGCACCCTGGGGCAGCCTCATGCTGAAGCTCTGGGATTTCCAATGGAGCTCAGGGAGTCGCAGTTGCTGTCCGACGGGGAGAGGCTGGCACCCAACGGCCGAGAGCGGGAGGCTGCTCCCATGGGCAGTGAGGAGGCCATACGGGCAGTGGGCACAGGGGACTGCGGGCAGGTGCTACGTGGTGGGGTGATCCAGAGCACACGGCGGAGGCGTCGGGTGTCCCAGGAGGCCAATTTGCTGACCCTGGCCCAGAAGGCAGTGGAGCTGGCCTCGCTGCAGAATGCAAAGGTGAGTGACACTGGGTGGGAGCTGGACCTGGCAGAGGGCAGAGAGCCAAGAGAGGAGAGCAAGGGATTACAGGCCCCATGGGGGCAGTTTTCTCAGTTTTTGAAAGAAGTGTATGGATTCATACATTTCAAGGAATTCTGAATTCCCTGCATGCAAAGAATGCATCTGACCTGAAGGGAAGATGGGCTTTATATACCAGGGGGTAGGCAGGAAAGTGCAGTACACCACTGTAGGTTGAGTAGAGGAAAGCACTTCCAGATGCAGGATGCTAAAGACAACGTGGCATGCCATACAGGTGATGATACTTGTCAAAATGCATGCAACTGTAATTAAAACGGGTGCATTCTGTTGATGTAAATTATACTTCAGTAAAGTTGATGTCAAAGGCAAGACAAAAATGATGGGAAAGAAGAATGGACAGAAATTGGACACCTGTGTGGTCCTGGAGATTCTTATACTTGCTCACAAGTATAGAGGGCTGCTCATTTGTTCCCATTTTTATTGCTAAAGAGGGATTTCCCGAGGTTCCAAAGCTCCGCTTGAAGCCTACTGTCTGCATCTAAAACTGGTTGATGCTTGCCTCTTCACCTGCATACATACAGGCGTGAACCCTATGTCTGTAGGACCAGGCTGCAGAATTTGCACTGTGCTTCAGGACAGCCTGACTTCTGTTTACCCATTTGCCAGTGGGGAAGTCGATGCAAAAATCACCCTTATCTTGCCCCAGGGTTCTTTGCTTATTTTGTTTTGCAGAGATGCGTTTTGAATATTTATATACTATTTTATGTGCCATTCACTATGCAAGCCAGAGAAAACACATCCGTAAGCCATTGTGACTGATGTAGCCATGGGGGCCCTTGTTCCAGGCCAAGAAGAGAGACCTGGCAGAAGGGGGGTTATGAAGAGCATTTGGGAATGTGGTGGGAGAAAAGAAGGTCAGGGAAAGGCCAGGTTGTCAACCGCCACTGGGAGCCATTCTCGGTCTTTGAGTCCCTGAATCAAATGGGACTGGGGCCCTGGACCAGCAAATCGGGGCTTATCTTCTAAACCTCAATCCATTCACCCTCCCTCCCTTTCTCCAGGATGCCAATGGCTCTGAGGAGAAGCGGAAAAGTGTATTGGCCTCTACTACCAAGTGCGGGGTGGAGTTTTCTGAGCCTCCCTTAGCGGCCAAGCGAGCGCGAGAGGACGGCGGGATGGCGCCCCTCATCATCCCGGTGTCTGTGCCTGTGCGGACTGCGGACCCCACCGAGGCAGCCCAAGCTGGAGGTGTTGACGAGGACGGGAAGGGCCCAGAACAGAACCCCACTGAGCATAAGCCGTCCGTCATTGTCACCCGCAGGCGGTCCACTCGGATCCCCGGGACTGATGCCCCAGCCCAGGTATGAGAGGCTCCCCACCCACGTACCTCCAGTGCCTGAGTGCTCTGGGGGGCCTCACTCCCTACGAGGAAAATGAAATTGTGGCAGCATAGGGGGATTCAAGCATTCCAAGGGGACACTACAGTCCAAACCCAACCGCAGCAAGGACACTTCCAGGGGACAATGAGTCAGTTTTGAACTCATTGAAGGTGGGGCTATGGCCAAGCATCTGGGATGTGTGAATCCTTTCTTTCCAGTGCTGAAAGTTTTGCTTGAGCCTGATAGGTGAGGCACTGGGGTGCAGAGTGTGTGTTCTGGCAAAAGAAACACGCATTGAAGTCTCCCACCGAGATTAAGGTTTTTGTCTACTCTTTGGGTTGCTTTATTTGTTTCTGTACATTTTGATGTGATGAACTGGATGAGACACTTTAGGAAATGTTTGTTTTTTTATCTTCAATCATCTTTTTGCCTGTTAGTCTACTTTGTCAACTGTTTAGATTTCTTTGGTCAGTGTTTGGGAGGTGGTGGGCTGAGAGTTAGATCTTTTCCCCCTTTATGACTTTCAGCTTTTCCATATCCTTCTACTTGAAGGTGTATCTTTCAAGTGGCATTTAATTGGGGTTTGTTACTATCCGGTCCGACAACCTGTGTCATTTAATTAGAGCATTGATAGTTTACATTTAATGTAATTACTGACATACATGGGTTTAACTCTGCCACCTACTGTTTGTTTTCTGTTTACCCATCCTGCCTTTCCTATGTGCCTTTCCTGCTCTTTCTCCTTTGGATTGATTAGGTTTGTTATTCCATTTTCCCTCTATATTAATTTATTAATTATATAATGATTACTCTTCTGGTGATTACTCTGCCAGCCTTTATTCCCTCCCCCCGCAACATGAATTTCTATGAGAGAGCTAACTCCTACAGAAAAGATTTGAGTGACTATTTCCTTAGTTCTCTGGAGGATGAGCTAATATCATTCAAGATATATCAGAGTGAAGCCAGCCCACTGTATACAGGGAATGCCTTACAGCACCAGGGCTTAATTTTCTGGTTGAGAATACTAGAGATTAAAACATGACTTCTTAGCTATGGAATTCTATTATAGATTAGTACTTTGCCTTTCCTAAACAATGCAAGCTTCTTTAACTCCATTTTCCACCAGACCTTAACTCTAGTTTCCTAGTTATGGACAGGCATATTTGTTCTCTGTATTTTAACACCAAAGGACATTGTAACATTGCTGTTCAGTCGTTCATTTTAGATTTATTCAAATACTTAGCATTTTTGTTGCTTTCTGTTTCTTCTCGTATTTCCAGCTTCCACCTCAGATATTTTCTATGCAATACGTCGCTTGAAGAACATTTATCGTATTTCCCTTAGTGGGAAGTGTTAGTGATGAATTTTTTTTTAGTATTTATTTATACATATAAGAACTGGAGTACAGGCCAGAGTTGCAGGAGTAATGAGAGGATTCACCAGAGACAGAGTGGGGAGCAGAACAGGCAGATGGATGAAGTACACTGCTGAGGGGAGCAGTAGGTGGATCAGGAGAGGTCCGCCGCGCCTTGTGGGTCATCGCAGGGGATCAAACTTGTGGTGAAGTGGCTGCAGCGAGCTTCATGGTGCTGCACTTTAACCCATTGCACCACCAGGGAGGGTCCTAGTGATGAATTTTATTCATCTTTGATTGACTGAAACTGGTTTTACCTTATTTGGGAAGGACAACTTTGCTGCATACAGAATTCTGTGTTAATAGTTATTTTCTGAGGATATTATTCCATTTTTTTCCAAGCTTCCATTATAATTATTGTTTTGAGTAGACACAAAGCCACACTTTTGCTCTTTTGAAGGTAGTTATCTTTTTACTTTTGCTTTAAGATGAGGTGATGGGATGGGGGTAGGAGGCATTCAGTAATTTTGCTGTTATACCTAACTATGGTTTTATTAATATTTGCCATTTCGGAGTTTGTAGTACTTCTTGAATATTTCTTCTGCCCATTTTCTGTCTCCTCTCCTGTGGCACCAATTACAAATTTATCGGTGCTTTTTACCAGGTAGCCCTTATTTTATCTGTCATGCATTTTTCTATATTTCTCCCCTTTTTTCAATCTCATCTTTCATTTTATTATCTCTCTTTTACTGCATGTAATATTTTGTTAGGCTTGTTTGCTGACTTATTATTTTTATTTATTTTGTTTTTCAATTGCCAAGATTCCCTTTGGTTCATTTTTAGAGTTTTGAGTTCTTTGATGAAATTCTCAATCTTGCCTTTTATTTTCTTGTATAATTTAACTCCAATAATGAATCTCCCTGGGTCTATTTCTATTATCTTGTATTTTTTTTTTAATTATATCTTCCATTCTGGTATTTCTGATTTTTTTAATAAGATTTACTTAATTATGCATACAGAACTGGGGTATAGACCAGAGGTACAGGGGCAATGAGAGGATTCACCAGAGACAAAGCAGGGAGCAGAATAGGCAGATGGACAAAGTACACTGCTGAGATGAGCAACGGGTGGGTCAGGCCAGGTCTGCCATGCCATGTGGGTCCCCTCCAGGGTGGGGATTGAACCCACTCTGAAGCAGCTGCTGCTCCCTTGCAGTGCTGCGCTTTAACCCATTGCACCACCAGAGAGGACCTATTTGAATATTTTTTACTGAATGTGGAACATTATATATGAAGAATTTTTTTAGTAACTAAAGACTCTGGATAATGTTCTCTTCTTCCAGAGAGGATTTATCTTTGCATCTGACAGGTAGCAAAGAGCACTAGCAATCCCATATTGTTTTAATCAGATTGAAATGAGATGATTTGAAGCTAGGTGCTAATCTATGTAAAAACTAGTCATATTTCCACAGGGATTACAATTAGGATAAAAAAAATGTACAAAATGATGTAAAAATAAACTATATTATTATAAAAAAAAAAACTAGTCATATTTCTGATTCAGCTTTACTCTAAAGATACAATCCTGTGGATTCCTAATCGAAGGCCTGAGAGTTTACCAAGCTCTGCTCCCTTGACAAGGCCTGAACTCCGATTTTTATTCTGCCAACCCCTTTAATTTACTAGAAAATGCTACTCAGTTTCTCAGCCTCACAGATGCCTTGTCAGCACCCTTAAAGATAACACACTTCATATGCTGGGTTTACCACTTGGACTTTTTTTCTGGATCTTGGCTCTTTAATTCTCGGGCAATTTATTTGCTCTCTGATACCTTCAGAAATGTAGCCTTTACGTTAAGTCTGGATGTTCTGATTCTCAGCTGGTGAGCTGTCCTGCTTGCTTTCCCCACATAACAGAAGGGGGGGCCCAAGGCCAAGGTCATGGTGGGCAGGACAGTCTCTGCTCTCTAGGATCTTGTTCTCTGATTGGAAGAAAGTTTCTGGGAGATGCTGGAGGGCTGGACAGTTTTTCTGAAGAGTGAGCAGGAGGGAGACTGAGCAGCTACACAGCTCAATGTGCCCATTTCACAGATGAGAAAACAGGTCCAGAAAAGGCAGGAGATTTACCTAAGGCCAGACAGCCAAGTCAGGCAGAGCAAATCCAGAGTTTTGATCTTCTGAATCTCTGCCCCTCAGGTATTTTTACACTTTTTGAGGGGGGGGTGAGGGTGTTTACTTTCTGCTGTTTATTTAGTTCTTTATTTGTTCTTTGTAGACTTTTCAGTGTTGCCCAAAAGCTTAGGAATAGTATAAGAACCCCAGTATTTGGGGGCTATGGTATAAGAACCCCAATATTTAGCCATCATCTAGCTTTAGTAGTTCTCAAAATATAGCCAACCTTCTATTTATATCTCCACTTAGTCTCACCACTAGAATTTAGGAGAAGCAAATCTCAAATACCACATACTCATTCCATAAATAATTTGGTCTGAAAGTACATCATATATAAGGACTTCACTTTTTTTTTTTATTTGAAGATTTATTTATTTGTGCATACAGAACTGGGGTACTGGGGCGGCGAGAGGCTTCACCAGACACAGAGCGGGGAGCAGAACAGGCAGATCGATGAAGTACACTGCTGAGGGGAGCAGTGGGCGGGTCAGGAGAGGTCTGCCGCACCATGTGGTCACCTCCGGGGCAGGCGGGAATCGAACTCATGCGGAAGTGGCTTTAGCTTCTCAGTGCTGTGCTTTAACCCGCTGCGCCACCAGGGAGGGTCAGGACTTCACTTTTTTATACTTAATCTCAATACTATTATCACACCTAAAGAGTCAACATGAAAACCACTATTAACTTTTCAGAATAGTCTAAATCCACTTTCCTTATTCTGAAATTACAAATCACAATAGCTAGTTGAGTTCCTGTTGTCTAGCAAGTTTGGGAGCTTCTGACTCGCTACATTCTTTCTGTATAATTATATTAATCCCCTAAAGGAGGAAAACTGAACAGCTGTTCCTTTAAAGGGGGAAGAATGAACAGTTTTCTTTCTTTCTAGTCTGTGTAGGAGCAAAGAAGGCACAGTGGGTAAAGAGCATGGCCAAGGTCTCAGGGTGTCGGGCCTCTGTGGACTGTCTGTGGACGCGGGAACTGGGACCAGAGCACCCTGCTGTCCCCAGGCCCACATATTCTGTGTGGGGCCCTCCCCTGCTGGGAGGCTGTGCACCCAGGCAGGCCATCTGGGTATTGCTTACTCCTAGGGCTCCATCCCCTTTTGAGAGGGTAGGGATGGAGTCAGGAAAGGCCTCTATTCCTGTCCTATTCTGCTTTCTGTTTTGTATGGAAACCCTGAGGCATACCAAATGGAGAGTGTAAAACCAGGAGGCTGGTCTTTGACGGCAGGAATGGGCTAGCGTCTGATAGTAGGGCTAATGCTGTGAGCACAGAAACGCTGCAAGGACTGGCCTGTTACTCATTTGGTGAACAAAATTTCCGTGTCCCATGGGGGCTCCTGTTTACTGCAGAGCCTGGCGTTTTCGATGGTGATAGCAGCCAGCAGTTACTGAGTAATTACTAACTACCGGATACGTTCCTCAGTGTTTTCCATTCATTCGTTTATTCACAGCCATCCCCTTAGTTAGGCACTTCTTATTTCCATCTTAAAAATGGTGGGGTGTGCAGAAAGGCTACATAGCTTTAAATGGTAAGTAAGGCCCCTCACGGCTTCACTCCCTGCCCTATAACAGTTCACTTTACCTCAGGACTGGGTGCTGACTTGTGGGCAAAATCCATAAGGGCCAATCCATTCCAGACCTAAGAATGTTTTTACATTTTTAAAGAGCCTTTTCTTAAGGGGCAAGGGGCAGGGAAATGTAAAAATACCTAACAGAGACTATGCGTGGTCTAGAAAGCCTAAATGTACTATTCCAGCCCTTGACAGAAACATTTGATGACCCTGACCCTTGAGGAGGCATCAGAGAGGCTGGCCGACCCGCTTGTCTTCCAGGCCCGCCTTGGTGGGTGGCCACAGTGGGCAGACTACCTTCCAGAGGGGAGCGAAACGCCGAGCAGTGGCCAAGACTGCAGTTTCTCAGCACAAGAAGGCTGAGTCTTCTTTGTTCTGTTTTCTTCAGGCTGCAGACATGACCGTCAAGCTGGAGGAGGAGCCCGCGGTGCGGAAACCAAAGCAGCGGCCTCGGCCGGAGCCCCTGATCATCCCCACCAAGGCGGGCACTTTCATCGCCCCTCCCGTCTATTCCAACATCACTCCATACCAGAGCCATCTGCGTTCTCCCGTCCGCCTGGCCGACCACCCCTCGGAGCGGAGCTTTGAACTGCCCCCCTACACGCCACCCCCCATCCTCAGCCCCGTGCGAGAAGGCTCCGGCCTCTATTTCAATGCCATCATGTCGACTAGCAGCATCCCAGCCCCGCCTCCCATCACGCCAAAGAGTGCCCATCGCACCCTGCTCCGCTCCAGTGAGTGACCCTGCAGCCCATCAGGGCAGCACTTGTGGGGAGCGACCCTAGTGGGCAGGGAAGACACAGCCAGGGGCTGCTGGGACCCGGGCTGGAACACTGGGGAAGGGGGCGCTCTGCGCTTCGTCCTCAGAGGCTGTCCTGGTCCAGGAACACAGGAGTGGGGCGGGTGTCAGCCCAGCTGCTTGGGTTTGAATCCCAGTTCCACCCCTCCCCCAGGCGTGTCGTTTAAACTCCTCACACAAAGCAGGGCTCTTTGCACTAGTTGGTTGAATTGCCATTACTTGCCTATTTTTAGATCCACAAGTAGCAGTTTCTTATGGTTAATCTTAATTGGGCTGTGGTGAGTTGCTGATGCATTAACACACACAAGCACTTACCATCATGTCTGGTGCATCAGGTTTGCTGTTAATATTATGTGGCAGATCTGGTCTCCTGGGTTTTAAATAGTCATTTTGGCCAAGAGCAGATAATTTTGACTAGCCTGGATGGTCACTGCTGAAAAATGTTGCCCACTCCACAAAAGGATCCATTTTCGCTGAAAATTGGAATAATCCGAGGTCTCAGAATGGTGGAGAGGATTAAGTGAGTAGGTCTAAGTGCCATCATGGGGATTAACTGTGACGCTGACCTCATCCATGGTGTGACAACTCTTGGTGCCCCCTGGTGTCTGTAGGCAAGAAATAGTGGGGACCTGTCCTCCCCCTGCCATTGGAAGATTCAAAGCTTCCCTCACTGCCTGGGTTGTGCACAAAGATGTCACTGTAGAGACCAGACAGGGGAGCAAAGAAGAGGTCTGTCAAGCTTGAATGTTTGTCAGGCACGTAGGTGTGAAGCCTTAGACTGATCCAGTGACGGCTCTAATAACTTATGGGACACTGTGGTCTTCCAAAGAGAATACAGGGTTTTGAGGAAGCCTGGGGACAGAAAAACAAGTTCTGGGCAGATTGTGCCCAGCAACCAATGAGCTAAGCGGACACTGGGCGGTAGAGACTTCTAGCCTGGGGTGGTGAGGAATGCTTACTGGAGAGGGTGGGGCTAGAGCTTAGGGTGGGAAGGGCCTGGATAGGCAGAGGAAATGGGCGTGCAAAGGCCTGGAGGTAGTGTAGGGGGCTGTGGGGCCACAGGAAAGTAGCTTGCTAGGGTTAAGGGCCTGGCAAAGGGGTGGTGAATGCATAGGCTGCAGGGGCACTGCCTTGAGCCCCAAGTTGAGGAATTTAGGTTTTATTTCATGTTGCGGGGAAGTCAGCAACAATTTTGCATTTGGAGCAAAGGGAACATCTTTGATTTTGTGGGGTGTTAAGAAGGCTAGCTTAGGGGGATCTTCCATGGAAAAACTGAGACAGAGAAGCAAGGAAGTGGGGTTGGTTATGCCACAAGTATTCAACCTTTTTATTAGAGCAGTCGTTTAATGGTGGAGTTTACTGCGGTGTGGGAGCTTCTGGGGCTGGGACACAGCTTTACACTCTGTGGTAGTATAATAATAACTAGTACTTAGCAAGTGCTGGACTCTGTGCATGGTTTCAGTCAGCTCACATTAACTCTAGGAGGTGGGCAGTAAAATGGCAGGCAGGAAAACAGAGGCACTACACACTCAGTAGGTCACAGCTTGTTGTCACAGTGGTCAGGTAGCAGAGCCAGGACTTAGCTTTCCAGCTGCAAACCTCTGATCACCACTGTGGCTCTTGTGCAGATAAAACAGCCACTCAGGGTTGGCAGGGAGGAGGTTGCTGGGGGGAGAGGGTCTCATTTCCCACCTGTTCTTTGTCCCGTAGATAGTGCTGAAGTCACACCGCCTGTCCTCTCTGTGATGGGAGAGGCCACCCCAGTGAGCATCGAGCCGTAAGTGCAGCCCTGCCTCTGGCCTCTGGTGCGGGGTAGCTTAATGGGGTCCAGTTTGTGCAGGATGGGTGCATTCAGGCCCTGCAAAAAAGATAAGGCTTCTACAGGCCTGTCCTTAGAGGCTGGAATGGGCCCCGGGGCTTCGGCGGTCATCCCTTCTGCTTCTGTGTGGAAGTCACAGAAGATTCTCTCACTGTCTGTAAACCTAGAACTTCCCCTCTGCAAACTCTGTGCCTTGCCTTCTAAGGTGGTTACCAGACACTACTTGCAACAGATGCCCATACAGCCAGCAGAGGCCTTGCTGCAGGCAGCCTCTGCCAACTGCCAGTACATCTGCCACCCCTGGGGAGAGTGGAAGCTTCCTCATCCTTGCAACGTGAGGCCTCACTCCCTGCTCTTCCCACCCCTGCAGACGTATCAATGTGGGCTCCCGGTTCCAAGCTGAAATCCCCTCGATGAGGGACCGTGCCCTGGCAGCAGCAGACCCCCACAAAGCAGACTTGGTGTGGCAGCCATGGGAGGACCTGGAGAGCAGCCGGGAGAAGCAGAGGCAAGGTGAGTAGCCAACAAGTGAAGGTGGGCAGGTGGCAGGGGGCTAGGCCAGGCCAGCGCTGATAGTGATTTCCTCTCCTCTCTCCCCGTGGTTGTGAATCCAGTGGAAGACCTGCTGACAGCCGCCTGCTCCAGCATTTTCCCTGGAGCTGGCACCAACCAGGAGCTGGCCCTGCACTGTCTCCATGAGTCCAGGGGAGACATCCTGGTGAGACGGCGCCCCCTGGTGGAGGGAAGGGCCCTTTTGGAGGAGAGGCGAGATTTCCCCTCTCCTGCCTGGGAGCCAGGCCTCCTCACTTGCTGATTTGAAGCAGGCTGGAGGGTCTGACCAGTTGGGGCTTTGCAGGGGCTTGACCCAATGGGACCGTTTCCCAACTCCAGAATCTACTGCACAGAGTCCTCTCATCCGTCCCACCTCTGATTCTGGGTCAATGAACCCGCATCCTCACATACAGTTGTTGCTGAGGCCTTCTCTGAGGGTGACAGCTTGCCTTGGGAGCCACATGTTCCCTCCAGGAGGCCTGTAGCCTGTTTCCTGAGCAGCCCCACCCCCATGACCGGATGACTTGTACTCCAGCAGTTTGGGGGCAGGAGTTAGTGCCCTGGGCCTAGAATGCTCAGCCTGCCTCTCAGACCTGTGCCAGAGACCTGACTTTCTCTTCACGTTCCTTTCAGGAAGCGCTGAGTAAGCTGCTACTGAAGAAGCCTCTTCGGCCCCACAACCACCCACTGGCAACTTATCACTACACAGGTAGGCCTGGCTGTGGGTGGGTGTCTGGAGCATCAGTGGCGCCCAGCTAGATGCTGGCTCGCACCTTTGGCTGGGGTTAATGATGGAGAGGGGAGGGGTGGGTAAGCCAAGAGCCAGAGTGAAGGAACTGACACCAAAACTGGGGGGCTCCCAAGGAGCTCCCTGCACCCTAGAGGGGCAGGGAGAAGTGTATGGGCAGGTGAGAGCCCATTCAGGTGAAAACAAAGCAAAGACAAAATATAGGGTACAGATACAAGGGGCAGGAGCCCAAGGGCCCCCTCTGAGTTATTAGGCACCGTGAACTCGGACAACCCTTGGAATGCCACGTCCCGCTCCAGGCACTGGGCTTTAACTTCTCCCAGGTGCATCAGCACAGCAGCCTGTTACTGGCCCCTGGGGAATTGTCCATCTCGTCAGTGCCTGGCAGGCACCGAGGGCTCCCACATGCTTTGTCTCATTATTCCATACCACAACTGGTGAGGTAACTTCTATTAATAGTTCCCGTTTCACAAGTGAGGAGAGTGTGTCAGAGGCTCAGTGACACGGCGAGTCAGTGGCAGGAGCAGGATGTGGAGCCAGCTTTAGACACTGCAGAGATGTGGCTGGATGACCACACGCTGCTCTGCTGCCCAGAACTGCCCCGGCCCGGCACATGGCCCCGCCCACCTCTACCCTGGCTCCCTCTCTGCCCACAGGCTCTGACCAGTGGAAGATGACTGAGAGGAAGCTGTTTAACAAGGGCATCGCCATCTACAAAAAGGATTTCTTCCTGGTGCAGAAGCTGGTGAGCTGGGGCTCTGTTTTCCAGGGAATGATTTGGGGCTCCCTCTTTTAGTTGGGACCCAGCAGTC